GGTTATCGGCTACATGAGTTTTAAAATATCGGCATATCGGATATCGGCCAAAATCCCAATATCGTGCATCCCTAGAAATAAGTGCATTTGTTCTTGAATCGAGAAGGTAGAAGGGAGGTTTTTCCAATGGAACAAGACGATTTACATTTAAAATAAGAAAGCACAATTACATCGTCTTATTTCAAGTGCATGTTATCTAAATATCTTATTTTACGAGTGAAAATACGCATTCCATTGGCAGCTATCTAATTTACCTACTTAAATTAAGGGAAATACACTTAATTTAAGAAATGTTTTACTTATTTCTAGATCATTTTTCCAGTGTGAAACTGAACATGGAACGACTCAAACTAAAGGTGATTTAAACTGTAATTGATGTTTTTCTAAACTGGAATAGTTTTTTTCAGTGCAAGTTAAACTTGCAGGGTGAAATGACAGCACTGGAAAAAAAATCACAATCTAGTGAAGTCATTTTTACTTAAAATAAGTGCATTTGTTTTTGGATTAAGGAAGTAAAACAGCAATTTTGCTTTGAAACAAGACAATTATTATTATTATAATTCTTATGTCAACAGCATGTTATCTAATTACCTAATTTTAAGAGTAAAAATACTCAATTTATTGGCAAACTTTCTCATTTATCTTCTCAAATTAAGGGTAATTACAGTTAATTTATATATTTTTTACTTATTTCTAGATTGTTTTTCCAGTGAAGTTCTAGTCTTCTTAATTTTCTCTTTTGTCAGCTAAAAAAGCTGTTGCTTAGTCTGCTGTAACATTGCAGTGGATGGTAAATTGCTTAAAAACACTGGTTTTAGTTAATTTCTTAAGGAGCAGCTTTAAGCACTTTTTGCATTTTTATTTCAAGGGGAAATTAAAATCTTTGTCATTTTTCTCCAATGTTTTCTCTCATTTACTTCCAATCGAAGCATTTTGGTCTATCATAAAACCACAGCTGAGTATGAAGCTCAGCTCCTCCATGTCCGTGGACATGTTCCTCCACCTGAAGGAGGTGGCTTTTCCACGTCAGGTAGGAGGAGAGCTCCCGCCTCAAGTGGAGTTTAAGTATCTTGGCTCCTTTTTACGGCTGGTGGGAAAATGGACTGGGAGCTCGATAGACGGATTGGAGAGTCTGCTGCTATGATGCAGACGCTGCATCGGTCTGTTGTGGTGGAAAGAGAGTTGAGCTAAAAGGCTAATCTCTTAGACTTAGACTAACTTTATTGTCATTTTGTACACACAGGGTGTATAACGAACAAATTTTCTGTTTGTACAGCTCTCAAGTCATTTCCATTTCTTAAAGTGCAGCAGTGATCAAACGCAAACATGGTGATCAAAGCTCCTGATTCATCGTTCAGACTACATTCCTACCATAAGCTATGGTCAAATCTATGGTCCTGGATACAAGTGGCTGAACTTAGCTCCCTACACAGGGTGCATTAAGAGAAGGCAGCCCTGGTGGCTAGGACTTCTTTTTCAGATGCCGTCTGCATGACTCTTTTGGGAGGTGTACCAGGCCCGTCTCATCAGGAGGAGGCAGGGGGCGACCCAGGACGCGCCAAAGCGACTATAGCCCCATTTCCACTACCCTTTAAAAACCGATCCATGCCGAGACCGGTCCGAGCTCGGATCAGTTAACCAGGCTGAGCTCGGTTCTGACGACCGTTTACGCATCACGCTATCTCGATTCCTCGCCTCCTAGTGACAATCTGCGGTATTACTGCCGGTATTGAAGGAGGAAATCATGCAGTTGGTGGCGGTAATGCACCAAAAGTTGTTTGCCAACCGCCATAAAACACAAGAAGAAGAAGACGAAGAAGGAGGGAATCAAGCAAATCAAAATGGCGGCTCCCGTCACATTCAGAAAGTTATGCTTGATTATTATTGCTGTACTTCGGATTTCAATTGTTGTTTATAGTTTAAGAAGAAGTTGTTCTTCTTCTTCTGTTTCCAGAGGGGCATTACCGCCAACTAGTGGAATGTAGTGTGAATTGGGATGTGCAGCCAGACGGAGATGAAACGTTCTGCTCATCTTGTTATCAGAGAACCGAGCCAGGGAAAAACCGAGCCGAGCCCACCTCTGGAACTGGTCTGCAGTTAGCGCGGTCCGGTTGCGTCTAGCTCGGTTCAGTTCAGTTTGCTTTCCATTTACACACCATAAGTTACCTCAGTACTGAGCTCGGACCGGTCTCGGCACGGTTTTTCAAGGGTAGTGTAAATGGGGTATATGTTTCTCTGCTGGCCTGGGAGCACCTTGGGTCTTCCTCCAGCAGGGCTGCAGGGAAATCTGGGAATCTCTGCAGAGGCTGCTGCCTCTGGGACCCGGATAAGTGGAATAAAACGAGTAGGAGAAAGTGTCTAACTTTACATTTTAATCTCATCACGAGAAAGCTTGTCAAGTTAAATTATTTTGTTCCTGGGAAAATAAGAGTTCACTTCTTTTGAGTACATTTTCCCTCAGATTTAGGAGTTGTAATTTGTTTTAAAGACATCCTTTTTTGAAAGTTGAAGAAAGAAAATACTGAAATATGCACTGGAAAAATTATCCAGAAATAAGTAAAAATTTATTAAATTAAGAGTATTTACCCTTGAGTTCAATAGGTAAATCAGATAGTTTGCAAATGGAATGAGTATTTTTACCCTTAAAATGAGATAATTGGATAATATGCACTTTAAATAGGACAATGAAATTGTGTTTTCTTATTTTAAATCTAAATCGTCTCTTTATCTCCTCAATTCAAGAAAAAAATGCACTTATTTTAAGAAAAAAATACTTACCTAGAACCTTTACCTTACATGACAATTAACAATTAACAAAGTAACATAGATAATAGAAACTGTAAGGACAATGGAAAATGCTAGGACAGCACAAACAGGCTACTGCAGGTACTATTTAATGAAGATGCCAGTTAGGGACCTGTGAGGCGTCTGTTTCTCAAACTAGAGACTCTAATGTACTTATCTTCTTGCTCAGTTGTGCAACGCGGCCTCCCACTTCTTTTTCTACTCTGGTTAGAGCCTGTTTGTTTTGTTTTTTAACTCATCTTTGGTTACATAAACCAATCGTTTGAAATTGAGTGGAGAGATTCAGAATAAGAACATTGATTTATATTAATTTAATTAATATTAACTTTACAAAAAATTTATATATATATATGTAGATATATAAATATTGTTCATGCAAACCTAATTTTTATTAACTGTGGTCTGTGCCATCTTACCTTAAGTGAGACTTTCTCATCACTGATAGCTTTCTTTATCTCTTTTACAAATTTCTGAGCGCAGGGATGTTGAGTGTTTTGAGACCTGGACAGAAACAGAGACACACAGAGAACCACATCTTAAAGCTCAACAATAGCGACACTGTCTCATGTACACAAAAAATGTTTAGAGTTTCGCTTCCTGTTTGTAGATGTGTGCTTAATTACATTAATCAAGCACACATCAAAAGCCAAATTAGTAAAAAGAGACGAGGAAGGGTGTTTTCACAAACAGAAATAGACGTACCCTTTCACATAGGTCTGGTTAGCCTGGTCACACAATTTCTCTGTAGAAAAAAAAAATGTTAGAGAAATGGACATAGAACAATTATATATATATATATATATATATATATATATATATACTACGGTTCAAAAGTTTGGGGTCACATTGAAATGTCCTAATTTTTGAAGGAAAAGCACTGTACCTTTCAATGAAGATAACTTTAAACTAGTCTTAACTTTAAAGAAATACACTCTATACATTGCTAATGTGGTAAATGACTATT